CGTCGCGATCTGCCGTTCCCGGCCGCCGCTCCTTCTCTGCGGGCGCCGCGACGCCGCCGTTGGACAGCGACGCAAGCATGCTCTTCCAGCCGCTCCCCGCGGGCACGCATACGTCGTGCAGCCGCTCATGCGCCTCGGGGAACAACCGCTTGGACAGCTGCTCCTCGATGGGCAGGAGCGGCGACAGCCGCATGCGCATCTTGCGGTGCGCGTCGGTCAGGGGCGAGGTGGAGAAGCGCACGGCGGGTGGCGCGCGGCCGGCAACGCCCTTGCCCTTGTCTGGCCGCGATGCAGGCTGTGCGACAGACTGGTCCCATTCTTCCTGGAGGACCTCGAGGAGGCGCTTGATGGATCTGGGCAGGCGCGCGCAGGTGATGAGCAGCGTGGGCGCGTCGGCGAGACGAGAGCGACGTACCGGATGAGGTTGAGCTGGATGATGGTCCTCCAGGCGGCGCGTTCGCTGCGGAAGTGCGAGGGCGAGAAGGCGAGCTGGAAGTCTGGAAAGGGAGCGTGTCAGGAGGTCAGCGGGCAGCGCATGCAAGGACAGGGACACGCACTCTTGAGCGTGGTGCTCTTTCCGGACTCGGCCTGGCCTGGCGAGGCGCGCGGGTGAGCAAGCGGGGAGGGGAGGCAAGAGAGAAGGCGCACCGAGGAGGAGGATCTTGATGGCCTTTTTGCGGCGGTCGTAGGCTTTCTTGTCCTCCTGAAGGGTCTGGTCGATCTCGTGGGAGACGGCCTGTGCGGCGCGCTGCTGCTGGAGACGGGCGTCGCGGTCGTCGGGGGACTCGTCTGGCGGGGGCTGGAGTGCGCGCGTGAGGGGGTCGTCGGCATCGGCAGACGAGAAGAGGGCGGCAGCAGAAGCCATGGGAGGGGACGGGAGGGCTGCTGGGTGGGGAGGAGGAGGAGGGAGAGAGGGAGGACCACATGGGAGGCGAGGGAGGCCGGGCGCACAGCAGCGTTGCGGCCAAGTGCACAGCCTCCGTCCTAGCCCTGATCCGGGCACCGACGCCCCCGCCGATCACCGCCTTGATCGAACGCGCGCTGATTCCCCTCCATCTCACATGCCACCTGCTCTTGCACGCCGCTGCTCCGATCTCTGCCCGCCTCGCGGCGGCACCTTGCACTCCGGGTCGTCTATGCGCGCGCTGCGGGAGAGACGGATGAAGGGTAATAATGACTTGTAGACTAGCTTGAGCAGTCAAGAAAAAGTATGGCCGCGTTGATGCGACTATATGCGTGTTCGACAGACGATAATACGCGCGATGCATGAGCTTACAAGGTACGAAATGAATACACGATATCGACGAACACTCACCAAGGACGTGCGGCACTGGAGTCGCTCGTCGGCACCCGGAGTGAGACAAAGGGAGTGCTTCGAGTGAGAGAGGATGGATGGATTGCTCTGCGTCGACGCCGGCGTTGTAGCAAGGACCGACAGGATGATATCATACACGGACGCACATGTGAAGCCGTCGATCGAGACAAGGACCGAAAGAGGAAACCACCTTCTAAATCGAGCAGGGAGGGCGCAAGCGTCCAGCGTGTCGCTCCCGACGCGTCATATTGACGACGCGGGCAATCTCCCTTCCCCACTCGGTCAGCGCGTGCTCCGTCGATGCACCGCGTCCACCTCATCACTCCACGCCCGTCTCGCCAGCGTCTCAGTCCGCGCTGCGACTCGCGCCGATCTCCATCTCCGCGCTCTCTCGCCGAGTGCGCCCTCTCACTGCGGCCGACTCCCGTGACTGCCTGCCGCCTCCCCTCAGCCCTCGTGGCGTGCACAAGCGGACGTCTGCCCAGGGAGCGTCCCCAAAGTGGCAAGTCCCACCCCTCGAGAGTCCCTCCATCTCACGCGCTGTCCTCGCGTCCCCGCTAGCACGCGCGTCACGGCGCCATAGCAGGCGCGTACAGGACACAACGCGCCGCGCCGCACGCGCACCACGCAAGGCTGTGCTACCGAACGAAGCCTCCCTCGCGCGTGTATCTGTACTGCATCCATCGTCGCCCTGCCAATCCAACTCACACAGATTCAGATCCACACAGATCGTTTGGTGCGCCATACCACGCCGTCAAGCGCTCCCACCTTGCGTGGGACAACAGGCAAGTGCCCGCCCGGTCACCCGTCTGCCGCTCACCCACCGCTCTCACAGCATCCCGTCGGTCCTGCACGTCGCGTCCGGGGACACCGTCTCCTTCGACTGCCTCGACGCGTCCAACGGCCAGCTCACGCCCACATCGGACCTCGCGGCGCTCGCGGCCCTCGACTTTGCACGCCTGGACCAGGTGAACGGCCCCGTGCACGTCGCGGACGCGCGCCCCGGCGACACGCTCCGCGTCGACGTGCTGGACGTGCGCGCAGCAGACTGGGGCTGGACCGCGCTCATCCCCGGCTTCGGCTTGCTCGCGGACGAGTTCCCCGCGCCCGCGCTGAAGCTGTGGACGCTTCCGGGCGCGGAGGGCGGGGCGGGGCGGGCCTACGCGTGGTTCGATGAGGCGCGTGGGATACGCGTCCCGCTGCGGCCGTTTGCGGGCGAGATGGGGGTCGCGCCGGCGCAGCGCGGCGACGATCCCGCTGTACAGGACTGGCGGGAACATCGACACGAGGCACGTCACGGCCGGCGCGACGCTCTTCCTGCCCGTGGAGGTCGAGGGCGCGCTGTTCTCCATCGGGGTGCGTGTCGTGGCGTGGCGTCGTGGTGCGGCGTGCGTGCGTGACTGATGTCGTGTGAACGCGTAGGATGGGCATGCCGCGCAGGGCGATGGAGGTCAGTGCGTCGTCGCGCGTGCGTGCTCGGGCGTGAGT